CAACTTTTAATGGAGAAAAATTTTGGACTTTTTCATTCGAACTGAAAATTAGATCAAAATGAATTATCAGAGATTGAGAAGCTGTCGGATCAAACCCTAATCTAATCAGAACTATTAATAAAATGGAAGATTATAATTTAAAGGATTATAATTATGACTTTCAACTGAGTTTTGGTTGAAGATTATGTTTGAATGACTAGAACAGTGACCAATGAAAAAGCTCAATATGATTAGATTGAAATGAAGTTACTGGAGATTTGTTATCAAAATTGTTGATAATAATATTATGTCAACATTTAAATACTTAATTAGAAAATTTCGATAAAAAAAATCAAATTCGATCAGAGTGAAAATAGTAACGACATCTAGTGAGAAAAGAAAGAGCAAGAGAAAACTTTTCTTTCAAGATTTTCGTTACTTTTATCACTTTTACTTTCTGTTGGAATCTAGAAGCTTCTGATGTAACGTTAAAACCTAAAATTCAAACGTTGTAAAGTCAACTAGTTGATTTCCTTTTAATAGTCAAGGTGACTAGTGACGTTATCTACGTCATTGATTAAGGTAACCTTTGTCCTTGTTGTATATAAGGCTATGTAGATAAAATCAGTTACTACACTTAAAAACTTAATACCTGTCATAGTCACTCTCCAAATTAACCTTTCTCTTTGTTGTAACCCTTTACTTTTACCCTTCGTAATAAACTGTTCTATTCAGTATCGTGTGTGTGTATACATTTACTTCACAAGATCAACCACATCCTCACACTTTCGAAACTGCTGATGAAGATTTGTTGAATTGTCTGTTCGACTTGGAACTAAAAAGTATCCGATATGGAGCTTGATATGTTTTGTGAATGAGCCGATAGATTTTTCAATCACTCTCGTTCTCTTTATTCAAATGCAGAACATTCGGTACAGTCCCGCTCTTCCTGTCAACTCTTCGTGTTCACGTATCCATTTTTTCGTGTTGATGATATGATGAGATTGCTAATCGACATTGTGATTAGTGATGATTTGCATTCAGCGAATACTATTGACTTCATCAGTCAGAATCAATGGAGGTATTAGTGTTCTTGAAGCCAAATAAGTATAAGATGAGAATCGCTCTGCCTTTTTTTGCCGTTTTTCAAGGCTGCAAAGTGATCTAATGATCATAATAATTCGTATATGTTTCGATCTGCTATTTAATGAGTATTTCCCCCTCCATTTTTATACTCTGTTTCATGTTAGATTTGTAATTTCTACCAAGACTCTTTTATGTTTTGTCAAAATTCTAATAGAGGGCAGAATATGTTCCAATAGTTAAAGGTTAAGTTCGAATGTTGTTAATATTTGGTTCTAACGTAATGTCGATTATTCAATTATTTAAGCTATCAACTTGTTCCAAAGGAACTATAATTATTCTCGGTAATAAACTATCGAACTTTAAATTTGAAGAACTATCAAAACCATTGGTTGATAGAAATGAGTCTTCGAGTTCAATTTTCGAAACTTATTTCAAATCATAACTCAGCTAACAGAATTTTAGATATATGATTTGGAAAGTTTTTAATGATCAATTCTGAAAAATGGATTCATGCTAAAATCGACATTACACTTTCTGGCTACCTTTCTATTAGATAATTTAGATTGATTATCGAAATTAAAAGAGAAAACTAATAATCTTTTCTTCATTTATTTTGATCATAATAACATTCAGATGATGGAGACGAAGTGACTTTAATGTATGCAAAACATGAGGTAAGATCAATTTTGATTAATATCTAATTCACTCGGTAAACCCTAATCTTGAACATTCACCATCACATGGAGACTTTGAATTGGGCTAATGAGTTAACCTGATGAAAATTAATTACAAAAAGTTAATATTGGAAAAGAAATGGAAAAAATTTCACCATTGGCAAATATCTCATTCTCATGGAAATCATGGAAACTCTATGACCAACGGAATCAATTTCATCAAAAGAACAAAATATAAAATAACAAAAATTGAATTCTATTCTGATAGAAATTGAGCAAGAAAATCATTCACCAAGTTATATAATACGTTTCTTGATGATATCATGAAAACACCATGAAACATGATGAATTTGAAGAGAGAAAGAGAGGAAGAGAGAGAGCAGAAAAATAGAAAGAAAGAAAACTCTCTCTTCTCTTCCACGATAAATAATGTCAAAGGATAAGGAAGATAAAGACGATAATGATAAAAGGGGGTCAAAGGAAGTTGAATAGTAGGATGATAAAAAAGTGCTCCGTATCTGGATAGAGGATAAACTAAGCTCGTAATAAAAAGGAACCTCAATTCCTATATTTTTGTTCAATTACTTTATTCATGAAAGATGAAGATGGAGATTTAAAGAGATTGCGTTACAAAACGAAGATTTTCCTCTCTCTCTCTCTCTCTCTCTCTCTCTCTCTCTCTCTCTCTCTCTCCATCCTCGTCTTCTCCATCCTCATCCTCATCCTCATATACAAACACACACATAGAGTACAAATCTATGTTGACTGGCCTTCTAAGTATTGATCAAGGATCAGAGATGCTTCATACGATTCTGCTCTTTCCCTCTATACATTTCTCTCAATTTTATCTTCCTCATCCTCATCCTCATCCTTATCCTCATCCTCCCTCTCCACCACCTCCTCCTCCCACTCTCACTTAAGTCTCTTATTTTTTTTTCATTGTTAACTTTGCCTTCCATTGATCAACATTTACTCTTCAACGTAACTTTTATCTTTTTGTTTTTTTCTTGTTTGTGTTTTTGTTTACAATCAACCATCTGATTGCCGGTTAACATAAACAACAATCAAATCCAATCATTTGAAAATTAATTCAACAACAACAACAATTACAAAAAAGACAAACCCAATTATGTTAACAATTATTAAGCGAGTGAGAAAAAAAAATCAATCCTAATAGTATTAGAATTACTAACAATTAATTAACTCTTGTTAATCATCACCAATCAATCTCGTAATGACCACAATCAACTAATAATTAACTTTTTGTTTCACTTTGATAAGTTTTCTTTTCTGTTGTTTCTCTTGCAACAATTAAATCATATTATTATTATTAATATATGTAGATGATATTAGTAAAATCAACAACATGATTAAGTGATTGAAATCAAGTGATTAATTGAATAACACGTTAACAATCAGGACAAACAATCAACTAGTCCCAACAACAAACTCCTTCTCATCCTCATCTTCATCATCCTATTGTTTCAATTGATAATTTATTTCCAATAATTATGGAATCAAAAAGATCAAAAGTTTTTGTTTTGTTTTGTTTTTTTCTGTATGAAAATTGAAATTTCATGGAAGTGAAAAGTTTTTAGTTAAAAAGAAAAGTTCTGAACAAAGATGCAATTAAATTCTGAAAACGAATCAAAAAACGATATAAAAGTTTACTAGTGAATCACAATTAGCACAATAATCAAAATAGATTGTCATGATTTAGCAATTATTAGTCTTTAAATTGATGAAAAATGTAACCTTTTCATCAACGATTTTACAATTAATTCTTAAAACAATTTAAATGATCAGTTTTTGTTTTAAATTGAATCAAAAATTTTTTCTGCTGTTACAACAAAATTAATCGCCAACAATACAAAATCAATTCCTCCTATTAACCTAATTATTATTGATATCGACAAGAACAACAAAAACAACAACAACATCATCATCATCACCTTTCCACTCCCTCATAACACTGCCAACACCAGCACCCATGTTATTATTATAAACCACGAAATATAATCAAAAATTTCGTTGGTCAATATATGAACAAAAGGCTAACCCAACCCTGCCCAAGAGCCATTGATTAGTTAATTGTTTACTTGAGCATATTATCATTTGTATGAGAACTACAAATTGAACATTTGAGATTCCATTGAAAAAAAAAGATACGATGAAACGAGAAACTTTGATATCTCTTTTGATGATTTCATAGATTGGAAATACTAATATTTTGAAATTAATATTAATAGATTGAAACTTAGATGAGAATTATTATATAATTACAATTATCGATAATAGAATAAGAAAATTTTAAATTGTTGTTGATCAATTGTCTCTTTTTATTAAATCATAACTCGGATTTAAGTTGAATCACAAGACAATTAAGTGAGTATCTCTCACTCTAGTATGTTGTTCATTTGCAAGTCCAAGTTGAAAGTTTCATTTGTTATCAACTATCCTGCCAAATTAACAACAACAACAACAACACCAACAACAACATCAACATCAACATCATCCATATCCCAACAATCACCACCACCATCAGAATCCACCACAAAATCAACAACAATCATCTTCATCATCTTATTAATAAATATTATCACTGGTTCATCACGAACAACCAGCAACAGTGATTTACCTCGGCCTACCTCCACATCGTCCACCTCCTTTTTATCATCTTTATCTTCATCATCATCATCATCATCTTCTTCTTCTTCTTCTTCATTATCATCATTCTCATCATTAGCACCATTAATATTTCAACTCATTGTTTCAATAATTTTCCTCAATTCTTATCACCATCCACCCAGTGTGAGCACCACCGTTGATAATAATAACAACAAAGGTATCCACATCTCTAGTGCCAGTAAAAGTAAATCAATTAACACCAACAATCAATTGATTATATTAATAATTCTGGTTAATAGTTTATTTTATGATCATAACCTTGTTCAAGAACTTGATTATCATCAGTATCATCATCATTGTTATCACCATCATCAAAAACACCAACATCAACAACTACAATCAAATTATTGGCTTAGATTATTATCATTATTAAATTTATTATTATTCTCGCAATTAGTTAATTGTTTATCTTTAACGACACATTCATTGTCATTCTTGTTATTATTATCAATCTTATTGTTATCTTTGTTAATTAGAACATCAAATTGGTTAGAATTTTTTTCATTCTTCTCATCATTATCTTCATCATCTAAGGATTATCATCATTTACCAATAGAGAGAGTGTAACGTGTTCCCAAACTCGAACTTCGTTAATTTAAGTGCCTTAAAAATCTGTTGATTGTTGAGTTTTTTTTTCTCTCTTCTTCATTTTCGTTCTTTCTTGAGAGATATTCTCTTTTTTCTCATTCGATTAGTTTTTTATTCTATCGCCAATTCCAAAATGACCCTTAAACCAACTCGAACTCCTTCTGATCCCTTACCTGAAGAGGACGAATCTTCAATATCAATATCAATGATGGATTCGGAGCCTCAAATGAGGTCAACATGTTCACTTCCAATGTCCGTTATGGAATCACAAAGTTCACCTCCAACACGATCTTCCTTTGTTAGGGGAGGTAAAGTGGGTGGTAGTGTTCATGGGAATAGTAGTGGTGGTGGAGGAGGAAGTAGAGGTGGTGTTAGTTCAAGTTCCATGGGCCAATCGGGTTCTGTACCTATTGGTATGTGTGAAACAATGGCTAACACCAATACGATGACTTCTCCTTCATCTACGATTACAAGTAATTCCTCTTCGTCGATTTCAAGTCCCCTTGGAGGAGGTTCAGATCCTATTGGTACATCTTCTGGACGAGGGCAGATGACCAGTGGAGGGCGAGAAGGTGGAGGAGGAGGTGTGACTGGAGGTGAAAGAGTAACTGGTTCATTTCGTCGTGATCATGGAACCATTATCTCAATCACATCGGCACCACCCACTCCAGCTCATTCACCAGATCCTGATGGTATCCACCGGTCAACAGGTAATTTAACCTTAACCTACCGGTCAAGTTCAAATGGAGCTGGACTTAATGCTATTCCTGTTTCTTCAGGTCGTCTAAGTGCTTCAGCGGGTGTCAATATAAGTGGATCAATGGGTAATGTAGGTAATAGTGGTTCCAATGGATACAATTCATCAACTGGAACAGTTGATAGAGGAGGAGGTGGAGGAGGGATCGGACCAGGAGGCCTTGACTCGGGAACATCTCTTAACCTTGCCGGTTCTCCGGCAGGTAGCTCAACCCTTTCCGCTTCCGGTGGAATTGGTCGTTCCCCTCGAAAAAGTGTTCAATATGCACCTAATCCCAATAGTGCTGTTCGTCGGCGAGGTTCAACAATAACTGGCCGACGAAAATCTCGTGAACTTATGCCAGGTCCTATTCGTCGAGCAAGTCAAGTGCTCATTAGCCTAACAAGTCCCGATGGTGCTTCTCTTCACGGTGAATGTTCTAGACGGGATTCTCGAATTGTTCCTCAAATAACTCTTCTTAATACCAATATACAGAGACTTCCAATGAAAGATTTTGGTGCCGAGGTTCGAGCCTCAATGGATGTTGACCAATTTCTTCAACAAGCCGTTTTACTACTTGATATTCAAGAAACATCATTGGAAGGAATCGTTGATCGAATGGTTAAAAAGGTAAGTTCATAATTTTTATCAATCAAATTTATTATTCATTCACTTGAAAAACGAACTTTTTGTTTCTCGATAAATTCAATTGCGACACATTTTTGACAAAAAATCACCTGAAACACGAATTTCACACCTTTGGGTAAATAACATCTCGTTGATAAACAATTCGAATTGATTAATTATCATGATAACTGTCATTCCCTTTTTTGGTTCATAATTAATGTTCATGTTTTCACCTCGATGATTATTATTGAAACTTGGAATCCACCTACTTGCCCACCTTCCGATTTCTCTGATTTATCTTCATCATCATCTCTTTAATGTCTTAATGAAAGAGAGAGAGAGAGAGAGAGAGAGAAATAAGAATTAGAAAAAATTTCTTACCGAGATATTGACCTTAATTCACTATTTGGTTCTTGTTGCTCAGTTAATTAGGAACTCATACCATGATCAGCATGATGAAAATGAACCAGAAATGAAGATGGCGGTGATAGCATTGATGGATAATAAAAAAATCGTATCATCATTATTTTTCCATGTGATGTGAATAGTATCATGATAAAGATTGGATGGAAAAGAGAGATGAAGATGAGAATCAGCATGATGATGAATAGTCAACTTTTAAGAAGATTAACCAAATGTTCTGATGATTATTATTATTATTGTTTGTTCTGATTCCAATGAAATATCATTAACCATAAAATCTGATACAATCAAGATCATTCATGAAAAGAGAAAGTGAGAGAAAGAGAAAGATCCAGATTCGATTATGGTTCGATGCAGATTGTTCATTTAATCAGGCTCAGTTTACCAGGGAATTGAACTCAACGAAAAAGTGAACTCACGATTACCATGATGAAGATGAAGATGATGATTATCATCATCTTACTGAAAGAAAGATAATAAAGTTACAGTAAATTGTTATTTCGAAAAATTTTTTCTCTCTTCCTTAAATATAATAGCCATTGGGTAAGTGCTCGTTGTTTTATCAGGGAGAAAAAGGATTTTCTTAATTCTCTGAATAAATCTCATTCCAATCTACAACTAATCAGAACTAAAACTACGTGCTAATGATCAATGTTCACATCGTGAAAATTATCATGAAAAACTTATTAAGATATTCAATTTATCGGTTTCATAGAACTGGATGAGAGAGAGAGAGAAAAAAAAAGTTCTAACAAGTTCGAGTAAACCATCTAATGAATGTAATTCCGATAATAATAATTGTCAAGTTCATTAATGAATTGTGATAATAATGAATATCAAGATTCATATATTTTGATTATGTTAATTTTTCTCACTCTCACTTTCTACCTCTGTTGTTAACTAATCACAAGGTAACAACAATTTAAATCAGTCAACCATTAACTTTAACATGGTAATGATAATGTTCAATGATCAGGATGAAACAACAATCTAATAACATTATTATTAACAAGGTAACAATTACAATTAACTAACTAATCAGACATCTTACATAATAATAATAATAATAATAATAATAATATAACCATGATGATAATCCAATTAACCAGTAATCAAATCTCTAGAACTGGTTTAACATTGATTCTGATTGATTACCTGAATAATCAGTTGAAAAGTGTCTAATAATCAAAGTGATCAAGTTTATCGTCAATCAAATTTGATCAACTATGAAAAAATGTTACACATTGATAGTAATTAAATGATCAAACATTATCATCATGATTAATAAATTGGATAATAATAAATGACAAACTAATTATAATTAATGATGACATTTTATTTTTAAACAAATTTCCGTTAATATAACTAATTAACAATTTAGCAAGAAAAAAAAATTCAACCTGACCAAAGGTAAATATTGATATTATATCATAATAATTGTAACTACTTAATAGTTAATTTAATACATTGATTGTTTTATCAGACAAAATGATAACATTTCAATTTGAATATTGATTAAACAATTAAGTAATTGTGAGGTTTAATGATTAACTCTCAGCACTTACATATATAGACATTATCTTCATTTGATTGTTGATAAATATCACATTAACTCAATTGATTGTGATTAACTGTTTAAGGTTTTTTTTTCCTGGTTGTTGTTAATTTCAATTAGTTGATTATCATTAAATCATCGTTACATTGAAAATAAAAATCATCTTAATGGTTATTACACCTTTATAATAATAATATAATTCACCCATTCAAACTGCCACTTGATTAACTAAACAATCAAATTAGCTAATCAATTTAAATAATAGCTTAATAACAATTTAACACACACACACACATATATATACAAATACACCTTGAGAAGTGGTTACCATTAAAAGTGTTTAATGTAACTAATCAATTACTAAATGTTTACTAAAATCATCAACAATCAATGAGTAAATCACACAATCAGTATAATAAATTATTTCCAATTGAAAAGTTTTTCTAGTTTTGTTTTTACTTTCGATCTTGTAAAACTTTTCCTTTCGAGTTACGAACTCGAAAAAATTAATATCAAAGAAAACGGAATAAAATTTACTCTCAATTCGTTAATTGAATTTGATAGAATTTTTTTTTCACGATAATTTATTAATAGCAATTAACATGATGGTTTCTGATTAACTGAGAAAACTATTTACCTCTAACTGATGTAAAGGTGAATAGGGAAACAAAAAGTTGAGGTAAAAATTTGTGATTCTATGATCATAATTGTTTCCCATTAGGTTAATACAATTGATATATAACATGATAACCTTATTTGATTACTCTGATGAACATGAGACAGATAAAGATTAGATTAAGTTAATTGTGATTAATATGATGAATGATTATCATCACAATTATCTAATTGATTAGGAGGAGAGGAAGAAAAAAAATTTTCACCTTTACTCAATTGTGTGATTACAATTAATTAATAGTTTCCCTTTTTTTTCATAGTAATAAGTGAGTATAACATTAAGTTGAATTGAATTGAGTATTCAATTGATCATGATCATCATGGATTTGTGATCATGATCATGATTGTATCAATTACTTATTGATTCAAATAAATGTATTAATCAGCAATAATATTAACCTTGTTTTTCACCATTAACATGAAGATGATGATGATGATAAATTGTATATTATTAGATGAAATTAAATCAATAAGATGAAGATGAGGAAATTGTTATCATCATCATCAATGGCATCTATTATATCACCATGAACAAGTAATGAAAGATTTGCACTTAGATCGTTATTAGATCTAGAACTTTTCTCTCTCACTCTCTCGTTCTCTGCCTTTGATTGTGTTTAGATCATCAGAAAATAATAATCAAGATGAAAAGATAATTCAAATTATTATTAATATGACGATCATCTATCAGATCATCATCATCATAATCGAGTAATTCAATCAGAGATTCAAAGATGAAAAAATGAACTTCATGGAGACTTGAGTTAGAATTTGGGAAGATTGAGAATTTTTTTCTTCGAGTTGAAATTCAACTTTTTTTTACCTCCATTTTGCAGCTTACATGATGATCCAATGATGATAATGGTATTATGAGTCAGTCTGTTGAGGATAATCTGTAACAATCAAGTTAAATAACAAGTTGGATTAAGGTGAACGATGAAAATGTCAAGTTCTGATAATGTATTGTAGGTACATTCATTAACCATGATATCAATTGTTTTCATATTTTTTTGAAAATCGATGGAGAAAAAGTTTTTCTTTCCTTTTCTCTCTTTTTTTTCGTTTTTTTCATGAGAGATGAAGTTCTGATAAATTCAGGTTAGTAACTCATCATGTTTATCATCATCATCATAAATTATTGGGTAAAAAACAAAAGGAAATGATGAGAAGAACATGAGAGAAAAATATCAAAGTTGATTACATTTTCTATCAATTCTTGCTCCATGGAAAAGCATATAATTCATACATCCTTTCATGAAGTTTCTCAATCATCATCATCATCTTAATGGACAAATGAAATCTCAGGTTTTTCAACAATGATGCAGAGAGAGAGAGAGAGAGAGAGAGAGAGAGAGAGAGAGAGAGAGAGAGAGAGAGAGAGAGATGAGGGAGGATGACGAAAAGAGAGTAAGGGAACAGTTGAATTTTTTTCTTTTTTTAATATTACCTTAAACTTTCTCTCTCTCTCTCTCTCTTGTCATCACTTCCATGAAATAGAAATGTACTCAACTGAATAGTTTATTATATTACCATGTCTCGAGCTCTCTATGGGTCAAGATAGTTTCTCATTGAACTTTTTTGCTCTCTTTCCATGATCTGAGATTTTCTTGATATCTGCTCCATACATTGAGGTTTTTTTCTGATTCAGATCAACTCAGTTTATCAGAGTAAATGAGATTTACGGTTATTTGGAAATCGGCATCATCATCATCATTAGAATCAGAATCAGTATCAGAGTCTTCAGATTGTTATTGTTCTTGGTAAGTAAGAGTCAAGGAATAAGAGATTAAGATGATAAAGGATGACTAAGAAAAAAAGAAAGAGAAAAAGAGAGAAATAATTTCATTTTGAAAAATGATAAGGTAAATGATTGAGAATAAGAGGGAAGACGATTGGAAAACTATGGAAAATGGGTTAGAATTGAAGAAATCGAGAGAAAAAATCTTGGAATTCAAAAGACTGGAAAGAAACCAGTCAAGAACAGAATCTTCGGCCTCTATATCGAGCATCGAATTATAAAAAAAAAGTTCTAACATCGAAAGAAATGGAAAATAATACCATCTCAACTCGATCAGAACTCTTTCTTTCTCTTCTTTTTATTAGAACAAAGAAAAAGAAACTTAAATTAATCTTGGAATCGAAATCAAGGATAAAACATCATCGGATAATCAATCAGTAAATTTCATTCTAAATCATCATTATCTTCATCTTCTCCCTCCTCAACCCTACCCCAATCTTGATCAACATAATCGATATCATTATTCAATCAGAATAAAAGTTAATTGTTCTGATGAGTTAAATGAAACAATTCAATTATTGGAATACAATGTAATTAATAATCAATACTACT